AAAAATTAGCTGGGCATGGTGGTACACACCTGTAATCCTAGCTACTCAAGAGGCTGAGGTAGAAGAATTGCTTGAACCCAGGAGGTAGAGGTTGTGGTGAACCAAGATCACCACACTGCACTTCAGCCTGGGTGACACAGTAAGACTCCATCTTAAAAAATAAAATGACTTTTATCAAAAAGGCGATAGGTGTGGAGAAGGGGGAACCCTTGTACACAGTTGGTAGGAATGTAAATTAATACAGCCAGTATGGAGAACAGTATGAAGGTTCCTAAAAATACTAAAAATAGAGCTACCATGTGATCTGGCAATCTCACTACTGGGTATATAGTCAAATGAAAGGGAATCAGTATATTAAAACTCTATCTGCACTCCCATGTTTGTTACAGCAGTATTCACAATAGCCAAAGCATGGAATCAACCTAAGTGCCCATCAATGGATGAATGGTTAAAGAAAATGTGGTATATATACATATATATACAAATATTATTTAGCCATAAAAAAGGATGAAATCTTGCTGTTTGCAATAACATGGTTGGGACTGGAGGTTATTAAGTGAAATAAGCCAAGCACAGAAAGACAAATATCATATGTTTTCATTCATATGTGGGAACTAAAAAAAAATGGATCTCATGGAGATAGAGAGTTGCTGGGTTTGGTGGCTTAAGCTGTAATTCCAGCTACTCAGAGGCTAAAGCGGGAGGATTGCCCAAGACCAGGAGTTCCAGAGTATATTACTGGTTACTAGAGGCTGGAAAGGGTAGGGGAGAGAGGGGGATGAAGAGAAGTGATTAATGGGTACAAATATATGGTATAATAGAATAAATAACACTAGTGTTAAATAAATCGGTAGGGTGACTATGGTTTACAATAACCTGTTGTGCATCTCAAAATAGCTAGAAGAGGCCAGGCACAGTGACTCATGCCTATAATCCCAGCACTTTGGGAGGCCATGGTGGGCAGATCACTTGAGGCCAGGCGTTCGAGACCGGACTGGGCAACATGGCAAAACTCTGTCTCTACCAAAAATACAAAAAAATTAGCTGAGCACAGTGGCACATGCCTGCAATCCCAGTTACTTGGGAGGCTGAGGCAAGAGAATCACTTAAACCCAGGAGGCAGAGGTTGCAGTGAGCCAAGATCATGCCACTGCACTCCAGCCTGCGTGACAGGGCAAGACTCAGTCTCAGGAANATGGGTACAAATATATGGTTGGAGAGAAAAAATAACACCTAGTGTTAGATCGGTGGGGTGACTATAGTTGTAATACTTTACTATACATTTCAAAAAGGCTAGAAGAGAATAATTTGAATGTTTCTAGCATAAAGAAAAGACAGCCAAGTGCAATGGCTCATGTCTATAATCCCAGCACTTTGGGAGGCCCAAGGCAGGAAGATTACTTGAGCCTAAGAATTCAAGGTTACCGTGAGCTATAACTGTGCCACTGCCCTCCAGCCTAGGTGATATAGCAAGACCCTGTCTCGAAAGAAATAAGTTTTAAATTTCAAAAAAAAGTGAAGCTCTTTAAGATAATCTGCAAAATAATGCTTTGGTTTGAATGAGTCCCCCAAATTTCATGTGTTAGAAACTTAATCCCCAATGTGGCAGTGTGTAGCAGGTGGGCCTTTAAGAAATGATTGGATCATAAGTGCAGAGCCCTCATGAATGGATTAATCTATTCACGGATTAATGGGTTATCTTACACTGGTGGCTTTATGAAAAGAGGAAAAGAGGCTGACCTAGCATGCTCAACCCCTCACCATGTGACATTCTGCACCACCATGGGACTCTGAAGACTCCCCACTAGCAAGAATGCCCTCACCAGATACACCCCCTCAACCCTGGACTTCTCAGCTATCCAAAATGTAAAAAATAAATTCCTTTTCTTTGGAAATTCAAAAAATAAAATCGCCAAGGAACATGCATTCAAGTCCTTCAATGAATGGTCTTTGAGCCCTCTGTAGTCTGTTCTCTATCCAGCCACCCAAGTGAGTCCCTGAAACCTTAATCAGTTCTTGCCACTCCCCGGCTCAGAACCTTCCAATGGCTTCCCATTGCATTTGGAATGAATTCCAAACCCTCACCATAGCCCACAAGGCCTTCTCTCATCCATTCCTCAGCCTACTCAGGAGACTGAGGCAGGAGAATTGCTTGAACCCAGGAGGCAGAGGTTGCAGTGAGCCAAGATCGTATCACTACACTCCAGCCTGGGTGACAAAGTGAGGCTCCGTCTCAAAAAAAAAAAAAAAAAAAAAAAAAAAAAAACCTACTCTGGCCTGCTCAGCTTCCAATCACATAAGCTTTGTGTTTCTTAAACAGGCCAAGCATGGTCCCACCTCAGGGCCTTCTGCCTAAACACTCTTCATCCAGATACCTACAGTGCTCACGCCCTCAAGGTTAGGCCTCTGCTCTAATGGCACCTTATCATAGACACATTCCCTGGTTATCTCATGTAAAACAGAAGCCCACCCACCTACTCAATCACTCTGTATCCCCTCTAGATGCAAAACACTTCATGCTCGAGCGTACACTTACTAAGAAACCTGTTCTGTTCTTTTCCTCATTTTTAATTTTACTTATTTTTATTTCTTTTAGAGAAGCGGGGTCTCACTAGGTTGACCAGGGTGGTCTCAAACTCCTGGCTTCAAATGATCCTCCTATCTCAGCCTCCCAAAGTGCTGGGATTACAGGCATGAGCCACCACTTTTCATTTTTCTCTTGGTGCAAACTAATGAAACTCCAGTGCTCTTCATTGAGAACTGCAGGCTTCTCTAACTGCAGTTGAAAGAAAATTTCATAAAGGCGAGGAGAAACACTGCCTTTTGCCTGATAGCTGCAGAAACAGTCACCCTTCTGCATCAGAAAACCAATTCAGATAAAGAGACGAATTAAGATTTTTCACAAAAGCATCGATCTTGCTTTTGGTCTAGAGTGGAAACTTGTATAAAAATAGCTACTTCTATTGCATTTTTTATTAGAAAACTCTCATTGGATAGGGTATCTGTACCAAGCACACTGATTTCTGAGGCTGTGATTCTGTCCTGTGAAATGTCACCTATGATCCCTAACATCTGCAACTCTAGTGGTCTTACTTCATAACCCAGCCCGGTTCCCCCTTGGCTGCTAGAGAACAAGAACGTCTCAGAGGTTTCTTTATTATATCAAAAGAAGACGCCTAGCATTCCATCTTCTCCCATGTGCACAGAGGAGAAGTTCTTGTCTCTGTAGGATTCTTTATTCAAAGACTGAGAGGTTTTGCCTTATTTAAGAAACATCCTTTCACCTGCTTTAGTTTTCTTCCTAGCTCCTATTACCACCCACCGGATTATATGTTTGTCTTCTGCCTCCCCACACTGGAATATTAGAGGCAAGAGAACAAGGGCTTTGAATTTCTCTTTTTTTTTTTTTTTTGAGACGGAGTCTTACTCTGTCACAAGGCTGGAGTACAGTGGTGCAATCTCAGCTCACTGCAATCTCTGCCTCCCATGTTCAAGCAATTCTCCTGCCTCAGCCTCCCAAGTAGCTGGGATTACAGGCATGCACCACCACATCCAGCTAATTTCTGTATTTTTAGTAGAGACAGGGTTTCACCATTTTGGCCAGGATGGTCTTGATCTCCTGACCTCGTGATCCACCCACCTCGGCCTCCCAATGTGCTAGGATTAAGGCATGAGCCACCGCGCCCAGCCAAGGCCTTTGAATTTCTCATTGCCATATCATCCAGAAGAGTCTGCCACATGGCTGAAATGCATGAATATTGGTTGATTGAATGGATGAATGCACAAGCTCATACTAAGTGCTAGGCAGTGTACCTAGGTTTTAGCAAATAACAGTGAGCAAAGTAGACACAGTCCCTGCTCCTAGTAGAACTCAGAGTCTAATGAAACACATGGGCGATGCCAATTGTGTTGCTAAAAATCAGGGGGCATGGCCAGGTGCAGTGTGTCACACCTGTAATCCCAGCACTTTGGGAGGCTGAGGCGGGCAGATCACAAGGTCGGGAGATCTAGACCATCCTGGCCAACACGGTGAAACCCCATCTCTACTAAAAATGCAAAAATTAGCTAGGCATGGTGACACATGCCTGTAGTCCCAGTTACTCAGGAGGCTGAGGCAAGAGAATCACTTGAACCCGGGAGGCAGAGGTTGCAGTGAGCCGGGATTGCGCCATTGCACTCTGGCCTGGTGACAGAGTGAGACTCCGTCAATCAGTCAATCAATCAATCAACCAATCAATCAATGGGCAGCACAGGCTTCCAAGTCCATTTACTAACTGTGTGACCTCAGGCAACTTATGTAAGTGCAATTGCCTAAGCTGAAAAATGAGACTAATAATCCCTACATCATGGGATGGGAGCTCAGAACCAACATCCCTTTTTAAAGCTCTCTCTTGCAGGACCCAGATTCTATCCATCTCTTTCAAGCAGCCGGAGCAGAACCTCGAAATGGGGAAGGTGAAGGAAGGGACGCAGCATACTACAGCCCCTGTTGCTAGGTTCGGCCTTGGGAAAGCAGGTGGGCGGCTTCCAGGTAAGCCAGAGGCAGCCCCTGTTACTAGACAGGGCTAAGTTGCAAACCCAAGTCAGGGGTCCACCAAGGATCCTGGTTACTTACAGATAGGACTTGGAGGGGTTAGCACTGGGAAGCCCTGGGTTTTGATGTGTTTCTTATAGGGGAGGGGAGGGCTGGAACTAGTAACAAGAAATGGACACGCCTAGTGGCTAAGATCAGCCACTGGGAATAGTATGGGACAGCTGACAGGAAGTCCCTGGGCTCTGTGCACAGCCACTCAGGCCTCAGAGATCATTGACCTCAGAACACCAACATGCTACCACTTTCTGTTTGTCCCTCCCTGGTCTTCTCCAACTCAGCTAAGAGCACAGAGGATGCCTGGGCAGGCTCAAGCTCCGGCAGAGGCATCATCATTCTCAGGTGCTTAAGGAGAAACCAGGAGTTCATGAAACCAGCAACCCACTCACCAGAGGATTGTGGCCACGGACATTTCTCCACTTGGACACGGGCTCCGTTAACACCTGAAAGGAAAGAAAACATCAGAGCTGCTGTTCTTCCATGCCGAACCCTGTAAAAATGTGTGAGTTTGAGGGGAAAGCGAGGAGAGAAGGGAAAAAGAGAGAAAGATTATCCAAATTTGGGTGGCCAAGGTGGGCCAAAATTGCTGAGCAACCTCTGTGAGGTCACAACTCTATCCATCCCTGTACTAATGTGCCAAGCACAGGTACGTCCTACCTCTCTGTTTGCGCTGGTAGCCTCCCCAAGGTCAGGGCTGGCTCTCTCCAACCCTCTTTTATGTACTCTATCCCAGCTCTGCCTGCCCACCACATCAGGTTGGCAGGTGGGTGGGAGAAACCAGGAGGGACATGAGACAGAGCTGGGCCTTGGCAGGCCACCTGCCTCCGTTTCCCACCTTGGATCACTGCACTGGGTACACTGGCTGCTGAGGGTCCACGTTTCTTTAGTATGCTGTCTCACTGGTTTGGAGGCATTCTTTCTCTCTGGTCCTGTTTGTACCTTTTGGAATGACTGCCAATTTCTTCAGCATCCTGTGTGTTTTCAGACACATATCAGATCCCTGCCGGGCATTTCTAGAGCCTCCATCTGTGGTCTAGACACACAAATCTGGGACAACTACAGACTCTGCAAGAGCCTTTCTGGGTGTGCAGGTATGTGCCAGAAGAGATTTAAATGGTGCTCTTGGGGCCAAGATCTTCAGAGTGTCAGGATCCATCTGGGAACTTTCAGAGTATATGTGAGAAGGGGCCATAGGTGACAAAAGACCAACTGCAGGCAACACGTAGAACTCTTGAAAAGTAACCACCCTGGCCAGGCACAGTGGCTCACACCTGTAATCCCAGCACTTTGGGAGACCGAAGCAGGCAAATCACTTGAAGTCAGGAATTCAAGACCACACTGGCCAGCATGATGAAACCCCATCTCTACTAAAAACACAAAAATTAGCTAGGCATGGCGGCACATGCCTGTAATCCCAGATACTTGGGAGGCTGAGGCAGGAGAATCACAGGAACCCAGGAGGCAAAGGTTGCAGTGAGCTGAGATCACGACGCTACACTCCAGCCTGGGTGACAGAGCAAGACTCCATCTCAAAAATAATAATAAAAGAAAAGTAACTACCCCCACCCTTCACACCTCTAAGTCTTTGCTCACGTTGTTTCTTCTGCCCAGCATTCTCACCCCATTCTACTTCACATCAACTTTCATCACATGGAAAACTCCTATACACCCTTCAAAATCCAGTTCAAATATGTCTTCCTCTGTAAAAAGTTCCCTGCCCCTCGAAAACTCCCTCTCCTTCTAGCTCTTCTTCCCAGCCCCTAAGTAGCATACATAGCACCACTCAGGCACACGAGAGGCTGGGTCACAGGCAGCCTTGCTCCCCGGCCCGGCTCAGGGGTGCTACATCCATAGCACTGTCACCCAACAAACATTGATTGAGTGCCCACTGTGTGCCAGACACCCATGCCAGGCACTGAGAATACAACAATAGCAAAACCAGCCCAGCCTCTGCCTTCCCCTTTAGCCTACCAGGGGAAGCAGACGTTACTCAGATAATCACAGAAGCCAACAAGTTTTCAAACCCCAAGAAGTGATATAAAAGAGAGGTACAGAGGGGCCAGAGGATCCTCCGTCAGGAAGCATAACCTCGCTGGGAAGGTCAGGGGACACAGAGCTCAGATCTGAAGGGAGAGTGGTCTTCCTAAAGCCAGCAAAGCTCTTTGTCCCATAGAAGAACCAAACAAGGGTGTGGCCCCTGCCAGACACCCTAGGCTGGGATCTGGCTGTACCATACACCAGCCAAATGACCCTGGACAAGCCACTTGACCTCACTGAGCCATGGTTTCCTCATCTGCAACTGTGGTAAATATGGTACCTACTTCAGAGGAACTATTCTTGTGAGGATGAGATCATTTATCATTTACAATGAACCCTTCACACAGTGCTGGACAAACAGCATTATACCCATTGCATGTTAACTGTCATTGTTGTTAATCAGCTCCAAGGTCTTCAGTGAGACTATAAGCACTTCTAAAGTGCCATTAAGAGTCCTATCACTCAGGGCAGGGGTCAAGAGTCCCCAACACCCACCCTTCTCCCCAGGTTTGATGATCTATGAGAACTCACAGGACACAGCACACAGTCATACTCACAGCAAAGATGGATTACACCGAAAGGACACAGAACAAGATCGGCAAAGGAGGCCGGGCACGGTGGCTCATGCCTGTAATCCTAACACTTTGGGAGGCTGAAGCAGGTGAATCACTTGAGGTCAGGAGTTTGAAACCAGCCTGGCCAACATGGTGAAACCCCATCTCTGCTAAAAACACAAAAAAAATTAGCCAGGCATGGTGGTGGGTACCTGTAATCCCAGCTACTTGGGAGGCTAAGGCAGGAGAATTGCTTGAACCTGTAAGGTGGAGGTTGCAGTGAGCCGAGATCGTGCCACTGCACTCCAGCCTGGGCAATAGATCGAGACTCTATCTCAGGAAACAAAAAAA